TACCAAAGGATATTATTATTAGTCCGGGTTTGGATTCAAACCCTAGATCCTTGGATCAATTCAAGTGAATGAAACACAATAACACAACATCTCCACTATGTTTTAATCTGATTTTCACTGTCAAGAAAAAGGTTCGAAGTTTTCTCTTTCTCGTCACTGAAGATTCCTAACATGGCTCAGCTTAGCTAAAGCTTGGAGGGTTCTCGGTAATATATTTCAAGGAGGTAGAATAATTTCCTGATATATAGCAACAGTTAGCATGTCTCAGCCTGCAGTGTAGACGAGGGGCTGGGTTTTGTGAACCATGAACAAAATCTGAATGACCAATGCCCCAACAACAAAATTTCAAAAAGCAAACAACAACAAATATAATGAAATAATCATCACTTGCATAAATTGTTACTGTTAATACATATGCAAATGTAACTTTAAAATATATTTCACAACACTCCTTTGCAAAATAATAGCTGAATAATTTAAACCCCCCCCCCCCAAAAAAAATAATAATAAAAAAATTAATAAATTACTTACACAACCACCGCCTAAGCCAGGATAAGGTTGGGGATGATACGCCCCTTGTGCTCCGCCTGTTTGGGGAGGGGGGTAGCCCCCTCCTGGTCCTGGGGGTGGGTAAGCCTGATTAGGGGGCTGTTGAGGGGGGTAAGCGCCACCACCGTCGGGTGGGTAGGGGTACCCTCCTCCACCTGGTGGGGGGTAGCTCATGATGAGATGGTATCAGCTGGAATCCTCAGCAGCAAGGGTCTAAATTCTGTATGGGTAGAATGAATAGGGAAGTGTCAGAAGATTAATTATGACAGTAAAAATGTGTATTTGCTACTCTCCACTCAGACGTAAATGGAAGTTTGGCAATCGCTGGCATAAAATTATTGCTAGGCCCACAATCAATCTTCTTCCTCTTCAATATTTTCTTTTTAATAGAGTAAAACCGCCAAACTTCGGACACTTAAGACAAAACGGGGGAAAACATTAAATTCTTTTTTTAATTATTGAAAGATCAAACTATTATTGTGCAAATACTGTTTATGTATATCATGAAAAGAAAATTAGTAAAGGAAATGGAAAACTAGAATTATTTACTTACCCGCCGAACATTTTTTCATGCCAAGCTTCGGACGCACTTGCCAAGCTTCAGACGTTCATGAGTAGCGCACGTATAACGCACGTTATAGCGCATAGCGCACATACAGCGCACGTATAGCGCGCGCGCTAAAGTGCGCATTCATCGGAGGTTTGGAAACCGGATCAAAAAATGGTACGACGGGGGTAAGTTTGACTGCGTTGATTTTATGAAAAAAGTATTATTTTCTTGTTTTGGGTAGATTTATTTTAGGTAGAACTATCAGAAAGGTGTTTTTCACAACACTCACACAATATTTTGGTGCTAAAATCTTACGAAAGCGCTATTTTTTCGTAGTCAAAATGACACTCAATGTTGCCTGTCCGAAGTTTGGAAGAGCGCCATCTTCTGGTAGGGGTACCTGTATAGTACCCCTAGGTCCGTGGTAACGGCCGCCATTAGAAAATTTTCGCGATAGAGTGAAAAAGTATCTCATAAGCTCCCATAATTTTGGCAGAAACCACGTGAAATATGCCAAGGATTTGTTTGTAATCGATATATTGAAGGCTCTATACCTTAACTCCCCTGTTAAGGGACTGTAAAAATCCAGGTAACCTGAAATCTGTCTCTGAATTTGATGTTTTTTGTGAGTTTTGCAGACGGCAACCTGCCCTAACTTTCTGTACTAACGATGTAGGTTAGTAGTAGTATCAAATGCATGCAAGTTACCCGCCTGAGCTAGGCTCATATTTTGCGTTCGAGCCGTTGAAGTAATTTTTGTCCGAAGTCTGGCGGTGTCCAAAGTTTGGTGGTTTTACTCTATTCATTTTTTTTTTTTTTTTTGTTCTCCTGATGTGATAGGTCTAGATCTACTTCCATTTTATCTTTCTTTATCATTCATTTCCTCCTCCTCCTCCTCCTCCTCCTCCTCCTCATATTTATATTCATCTGAAATTAATAATTCTTTGAACATGGTATTGGTGTTGTGTCATTAAAAATAGATGATTTGATTTCATACAGCACTTCACGTCACGTCTTGCTTTTTAATATTTCAAAATGATCCATTCATAACAATAATATTAGTAACAAACGCCAAAATCAACACATGGGACTGAATAAAGTCAATGTAAACACATCGACTTCAGATTATGCTGGTACTATTTATCCGATTCCAACCTATTCAAGGAACAATTCTAGCTCCCATTAAATTGATAGATATATACATACCGTACCCTCATCTTTGATATCAATAAAAGTGAATTAAGAACAAAATATTGACGAACTGAGGCGAAAAAACAGACATTCTTACCGTCCAACTTTTAATAAGGGCGAGGTCCTCGATCTGTTCATGGACAATAGTCTTTCTCAAACTTCAGCTCAGACGCGCGCGTGCTAGTATTAGCCAGTTTTAATAGTTTAGATATCTAGGCCTATACACGTAATATAAAAAAGTATCAGACCTTTAAAAAAAGTGTATGTTTGTATAAACAAACTCAAACATAAAAACAAAACAAAACAAAAATCCTTATCATCTAGTCAGATGAAGTTGCCTCGTAATTAACTGAACATGTTTTTCTCCCCTTCCCCCGCCTCTTTCCTTCCTCCCCAACATGGTGACATTTAATTTTATTTATTTATCCCCCCCCCCCTCCCCCTTTGCGTCCAACCTTTACTTCCAGTATCACACACTTGCTCCCTCCATTTTCCATCTTTCTAGTTATCCCCTCTCTAGCTCTCTCTCTCTCTCTCTCTCTCTCTCTCTCTATGTCCCCATATCAATCTCTTGACAGGTTCTTCTAAATTAAGCCTTTCTTTATTTAATTAATTACGATTCCTGCCCCTCCCTAGTTTCTCTGTGCTTTAATTTCTTCTTTCATTATTTTCCCAATATCTCTGAACACCTTCAATCTCTTTTTCACCTCCTCCTTCTTTATCTATCCCTCTCTCGATCAACCGCATTCATTGATTTTTTTTTCTTTCATTATTTTCTCATTTTTTCCAGCTCTCTCAACACCCTCTATCTCTCTCTCCTCCTTCTTTATCTATCCCTCTCTCAACCTCATTCATTTGATTTTTTCTTTCATTATTTTCCTAAACCATGTAGTTTTTTTTCCTCTCCCCTCTCCTACCTCTACTTTCTCTCTCTCTCTCTCTCTCTCTCTCTCTCTCTCTCTCTCTCTCTCCTCTATTTCTCTTCATTTTTTGTTCTCTCTCCTCTCTCACTCCAGGTAACTTATATTTAAGCTATTACAAGTATCCACTAGAGTGCATCATTTTTTCTGTATAATTTCATCTTATATAATTAATATCCAACAAATGATTAATTAAATAAAACATACAAATATTAGTTCACATCTGTCTGGGTATTTTACAAAACTGATATGTTCCCAAAGATATGCTGAGTTGACTTTGGGACTTAAAACTTCCAACCTATGATAATGTTCATCTAGGTAGACTTAAGCATATATAGACGTGTCCACTATTGAAGATACATGTAGTTGATGTACACCCTGCGATAATTATCTGCATGCATAACACTGGGTCTGAGCAGAGTCTTCTTATACTTTATGGTACACTCTGCTTCCTTCAATCTTGCAGAGCCTAAAAGTGTGTCGCAGTCTTTAGTCAGTATTTGCTATACATTTTGTTCACAATGCAATCGCATGACCAGAACTCAACTTTATCTTTATGATTCAATTAGTCTAATTAATAAATGAGCACAGATTTCCCACAGTGGGACATAATTTTTATAATTACACTGTACCATAATCTACTACAAAAATAAATAACTCTTAGAAGTTTCTTGAATTCAGTAATTTCTGTCTGATATACATGTACATGTACATGTACAGTGTGTACATTATGTATACGGTAGAAGAAAACTATATACTGACATAACGCCATGAAACCGGTGTGAATGTCCTTCAAATGAATATTACTCAAATCACAATATTGCACTAAACCTGATAATATGAGTTTAATACTTGTATTAAATGGCAAAAATATTAAAGATTCTCCAGTTTCCTCTATAAGCACCAAATTTGATAGAATTAATGTAAGAGCTGTGCATCCGCCATTTCAAATGAGCGTCCCCTGAACACTGCTTTTTTCTGTCTCTCTTTATCTTAATTTCTTTCTTTATTGACCTTTGGAATTTATTTATTTATTCATTTATTCATTAATTTACTAATTTCCTTGTCTTTTCTTTCATTTTCTTTCTGTCTTCTTACTTTTCTTTTCTCATTCTTTATCTTTTGGGTGCCATCTCCTCTTTCCAGAATATTGGATCTTTCTGTGATGACACTTAACCTGTTGACTACTGAATTTATTTGTTGCCATAGGCTTAACACAGAGGCCACCAGGTTCCAGTAAGCAATGGGTTAAGGATAACTCACTCGCTGGTTTTCAAGTGAGGCTCTGAGTGATTACCTTTCTTGAAACTTTGAAGGAAAACTCTGATTGCATCACAAACTAGGATCAAGAAGCAATGTTTTAATACTGCTATCAAACTTTGTTTAAAGCTTCAATAACGGTACTTCGATCATCCTGTCACATCCTTAAACGCATCGTTTAACAATGTTAAATCTCAGATGCACGGCCCTATGTGTTATCGGTGTCTGTGATATGGTTTAATATTGAAGCACTAAAAAAAAAATTGTGTTTCAAAATGATCAAGAAGTGCCTCAAAAAAGTAAAAATCTTTGAGTGACCGGTTTTACCATACTCGTTTTCCCCAATAGACTGTAGTGTTATGAAAACCATTACGAAAACGCAAAATTTGTTTTTAATTTCCAATCATAAATATCTTGATAATTAGACAGGCGATCAGCTTGTAAAAGTCATGGGGTTCCTGACTGACCTAAAGGTTTAGAATTATCATTGCAGCATGAGCTAAATCCAGGATTTTGTTTCAGAATATGAGACATACTGTAGTTACCGGATCCCTTTAAGTACGGTCGGTGCCAATTAGCCCCAATCATTTCCTTGAAATCAGGAAAGTAAATAAATGTTACGATATGCGATATCCGAATATCCAGTATTCGTCGTAGTTGAATAAACAACATGTTTACCATAACAAACCAGATTGCCGACTCTCTATCATCCTGATTATAAATGTTTTCGGATGGTGTTATTTATTTATAATGCAAGAACTTTAAATGATTTTAGTGAGTTAAGAGGTTTATGAATATTGAAGACAATAATTATCCAATGTTCTGGATATATATGAATATTCAAGTCTAATGATTTCATGGTTTTGGATATTATGAATATTCAAGTATAATGATTTCATGGATTTGGATATTATGAATATTCAACAGCAATGATTGAATGATATTGGATTTTGTATAAAAGTATTCAGCAGAAAAACCTTCAATGTTTCAACAATTTTTTATGTTTATGAATATCCAAGACTAAAGGTTTTGGATGTTAATGAATATTCAACACTTCATAGTTTTGGATGTTATGAATATTCAGTGGAAGAGCATTCCAATCTCAAACTCATCATCGTGGCAGCGGTGGGATAAATATGTAGGATCAATGGCTCTGGTAATTCCAAAGAGGAGCTCTGGTATATAAAGAACCAAACAAATTACAAACAAATAGAATACAACAAATTGGCAAAAGAGAAACTAATTTCAATACAACACACCAAGCAAGAGCTTCTACAAACATACATGTACATGTAGAATTCTAGATGAATTTTGTTTCGCCCCTAATCAAGATATTGCCTGTTGAGAACCAAGAGCGCATGAACTCTGTTTTAAAGTAAAGAGTTTTTGCATTCTTCTGGCTCTCAACAATGATGAAAGTCCTTGCTAATCAGTATCAGTCATATTGGTAGTCTTTGGTGCACAGACATGTTTAGGAAGATAACAGTCTGAGCTGAATTCTTTCAGACATACATCACATTTGTACGGTTTCTCGTTGGTGTGGGCTCTCATGTGCCGGGTCAGATCCGAGCTTGCGCGGAACTCCTTGTGGCATACGCTGCACTGGTACGGCTTCTCGCCTGTATGCATGCGGACGTGCTTGATGAGGTCGCTCTTCGATTTAAACGTCTTTGGACATGCAGTGCAGCTATAAGGTCGCTCCCCAGTATGGCCACGCATGTGAAGGGTCAGGTTGCTCTGCGTACTGCAGGTCTTGTCGCACAGCTTGCAGGCGAATGGACGTTCACCTGTATGAATTCGCATGTGAACTGTCATGTCTCCTTTACGACCAAAGCTCCTCCCGCAGGTCTCGCAAGAAAAGGGCCTGATCCCGGTGTGGGTGCGTAGGTGATAAGTCAGGTGGGTCGCGCGGCTGAACGCTTTCTGGCAGACGGAGCATTCAAATGGCTTCTCACCCGTATGGCTACGCATGTGGTTTTCAAGGTGGCGTCTTTCAATAAAGCCCTTGTCGCAGACACTGCATTTGAAGGGCCGCTCTGAAGTGTGGACCTTCATGTGTGATTTTAAATGCATGAAAGATTTGAGGCATATCTTGCACTGCGAGAGTTGTTCTTCTTCATTCACTGATGCCATTGCTGCTGCACAATGGTTCTGTGACCTTTGACAAGATGTTCCTTCCAATGCATTTGTCCCTGTGTCCTCTTGGGAAACAAGATCTTCTTGACAGTGAACAGCAACTCCCGATTCATGAATCATAGTCAAACCCTTAGCAGAAGGTCTGTCATCCAAACACTCTCTGTCACTTGCTTGCACCATGTCAATGCCTGGAGATCTTGGATTTGCATCAGGTACATGTTTGCTTTGAAACTGTCTTTCAAGAACACTTGCACCCAAACCATCTATCGTCAGGTGATTAGTATCAGAAGCCTGTGATCCATAGAAATATCTTCTTTCCAGAGCACTTGCCTCTCTCCCATCTCTGCTCAAAAGATCTTCTGGATGAGAAATGGAAACCCTGGATTTGTGAGAAATTGACTCGATTCCACCCGAATGCTTTTCACGCTGTGGTATTAGAATACGTCCTCCTTTCTTTCCAATTATCCATGGCTTTTGGTCAGACATCCTTTCACAGGTATTTGAAACCATGTTCTCTTCAGTCTCATATGACGAAGGACCATCAAGGTCCTGATGAGCAACCTGCGATTCTTGTATCAGCGTGGTGCTTGCACCTGGTGCTTCCCCTTCCCCTTGTGTTGGCTCACAAGGAGTACAGTCTGAAGGAGTCCTAGGGTTTGGAGCTGGTGCATGAAGCTGGACACCTGCCAAGGATTGACGGGGTGGTGGGCTTGACATAGATTGATTGGCAACTAACGGACATCGTCTATCATCTTCTGCATCAAAGGAAAAAACATAGTTATCAAAAATAATTATGTTTACCTGTGCATGAAGAAGATGTACATGCAGTGTAAGTACATCTGCATGGAAGTATAAGTAACCTACCCATGAGTGGCATAATTTTGCTTTGAACTCTATTTTGTCAAAGATATTATAAAGATGTAGGGTAGTGGTCAAACTTGTTTTTTAAGGATAGTGCTCCAAGGATGTGATTAGATTTTCTTGTTTAGGGTTTATCATTTAGGGTCATGTATCATGTTTGGGCTGAAGTCAGCAAATTGTGCCAAAACGTTTTGCATACTTTATTAACACTTTTGACACTTAAAAGACTTAGATAATATTTATATTGATAATAATAATATTAATATTCTTCTTTACCCAGGGAAGCCTCATCAGTATAAATACTGTTCTCCCTGAGGGCCCTGCAATCTAACATTACACTGGCTTTAGCGGAGGTACAATGAGAAAGCGCTCAAGCATTCAAGGATTTCTTCCTACTGGGTACCTATTTACTACACCTGGGCGGAGAGTGGCAATATAGATTATTATTATCTATATTTTAAGGCGTCCAAGTGGTATAATTAATCAGTGTACTCATTATCTTTAGCGCAGAACCCGGATGACTGACCAATATTGTTTTTGTAGTGCTCAGTCATCCGGGAACTTCAACTATCAATATCATATCATATCAATATCACACAAAAACAAAGCCATATTTAGCAAAGTCAAATTTTGTTATTTCACTAATCATGCAGTCTGATATAGATAATACAAATAATATTGTATGGCTTTGTTTTCGTGTGATACAAGAATATATTGCTCTCGCCATGATAATGTTGGACTCGTCTCTGACTCGTTCAATATTGTCATAGCTCGAGCAAGATATTCTTGTATCACACTCAAAACCATCCAATATTATATAAATATCTTGCTAAAGGATATGTCATTAGTGCTGCAGTGGGACTCAAACTGTGAACCATGTGAACCAGTGACGAATCCACTAGACCTGGGCCAACACCTCTACCAAGATCAAGATCTTGTCTTACCGGTACTCTGCTGGTTGTGAGGTTCCACTGGTTCTTGTTTGACAGTGGTGCTGGTGATGCCTGCCAGATTCGATCTCTCCATCGTCTAACTTACATCCACCAGCCCAGGCCAGTCCGATTGAAGCACTGCTGGTTTGGAGACCTGCATGAAATCATAAACAACGGGGCAATGAGTAACTTAATACAGGTGAGAAATATTATGAAGATAGATTACAGGGTATGCGTATCTCTGATTCTGAATCTTGTTTTTCCTAAATATTTATAACAGAAAATTACATGGACATTTTGTTGGGGTCCTACATTTCACACCTGTAAGTTACTCATCATGCTTATTTCAATAGACTAGAGAATTATACTAGTACTTCAGTAGTCTTCAAAAACACTGCCCAATATCCATGAAAACAAACCAAATTCAAAACATTACCGTCAATGGCAGCCTAGTAGGCCTACTAGTATCTAACTTTTACACAATAATGTAAGAAAAGTAATGGAATTTACTCAGCTCAGTCAGCTCAGACTCAGCTCAATTAGTATTTTCAAGTTGGGTGTGAAGGGCTGGTGTTAGTGTTAAATAAACACGAACACCAGCCCTAAACACTGAAATGGAAATCAGCTGGTGTTAAGGCTTTGACCACTGAATATTGTCAACATCCGGTAGCTAGTGTTATTGATTTTACAAAATTATTGTCTGCTGAACCGAATTTGTGGTTGTGGTGTTAATATTTTATGTACAAATGTCCTATTCACTAACACTAGACCCTAGGGATTAAGCAAATGTTGATTTCCAGTTCGGTGTTAGTGTTATACCCGCACAACAGTCAACGCACGAACGACGCTAATTTATTGTCTGACGATAGTAGAAGTAGAAGTAGAAACAGCTCCTTCACTATGTGATCCAAACATTCTTTTGTGTAAAATGAGTTATTTTATAAGACCAGAGAAGTGAGTGTAAATTTATTCTGTGCTTTTCATGATATCTTGAGTCTTGAACTCTTGATGTACTATTTTTAAATCATCGTCGTGAAATCAAGTCTGTGTGGCAAAGTCAGTGCGCACAGTAGGCCTACCGATATTGATATCGGTATCAATCGAGCTCTTAATTTCATCAGCAAATTTTTTGCCCGATGTAAGAGCTCTTGGCTGCTCGAAACACTAACACTATACACATCGAACTTGAAATCACTCAATGCCTCAATTGGTCAAACTCGAAGAAAAATCTGGGCAAAAAAGCCAAGAAAAAACAAATAAACAGCCTGGGGGCCGTTTCTCGAAACCGTCATGGCTACAATTTTTTACAAAAAGATCAAAGACATCTCGCTTCTGTCGCTACTGTCGCTCGGCTTGTCAGCTAAGTCATTTCACAAAGCCGTCTTTGCCAAGAAGATGAGCGACAACTTCCGCGACAAGCGAGTTGTCGATCACTGCTCCGAACCCGTCATATCTTTTTTAATTAGGGTCTACTGTAAAGGGCCAGTGCGCCACCACAAGTCAGTTTGTTGCTATTCCAGGCCATGCATTGGCCGCCAAAATAAATGTGCGATTATAGATCTAGACTACCGGTAGGCCTATAGTCGATCTAGCCTTTACTCACCTTTAGGTCTACGTCTACCGGTAGTTGCTAATGCTAGATCTAGATCTAGACTAGATCTATTTTATAGACTATTTCTTTTTCCATTGATTTGATTCTTTAATAATGAAAAACAAAGGAAATCACAAATTAAGATCCCTCAAGCCTCTAGCTAGCTCTTCTCATTTGAGAATCAGACTTCATTTAGACTGGGGTCTAGTTATTCTGCACACGCACAGCCCTCGAGCTCTCGATCTGGTCACTGATCTGCAGCTCTGTCCTACCCGACAGCTACGGGAGGACCGTTCTAAACTGTCCGTAGATCTCGATCTAACCAAACTTGCTGACATTAAGATACGACTCAAATTTTACTCTTTTATCTACGTTTCTATCTTTCTCTTTTACTGCAAACTCTTGCACCTGAATTCAAGTATCACCCTTTTTATTTTAAATCTTCTACTTACCCTATTTTGTGGTTATTTTAGACTTGGTTCATTTCTTCTTCGAAGATTTTTGGGCCAACCGTTGTTGTTTTTGTTGTTTTAGTTTTAAGGGCGTGTGTCATTCAATTGTGAATAGTAGTCTTCTTCTCAGGCTATATAAATATGTAGACGTCTACATAGCGTCTACATATTTATATAGTCTGAGAACAAGACTACTATTAAATATCTTCGAAGAAGAAATGAACCAAGTCTAACCCCGAAATAGGGTAAGTAGAAAGTTTGCAATAAAAAGAGCGATACTTGAATTCAATTGCAAGAGTGTGCAGTAAAACAGATCGATATAAACGTAGGAAAAGAGTACAATTTAAGTCGTAACTTGTCGGCAAGTGGCATGCGCAGCGCAGTTTGGGTTGATCTACGGACAGGTAATCCCATAGGAAAGAAATGAGCCTGCCGCATACTCCTGCGGCAGACCTGCCGCAGACAGTCATCTTTTTCACATGCAAATTAGTTTTGCCGCAGACTTGCCGCAGACTTGCCGCATACTCTTTCAGTATGATGAAGAGTCTGCGGCAGGTCTGCCGCAGACTTGCCGCATACTCTTTCAGTATGATGAAGAGTCTGCGGCAGACCTGCCGCAGACTTGCTGCAGACCTGCCGCATACTCTTTCAGTATGATGAAGAGTCTGCGGCAGGTCTGCCGCAGACTTGCCGCATACTCTTTCAGTATGATGAAGAGTCTGCGGCAGGTCTGCCGCAGACTTGCTGCAGACTTGCCGCATACTCTTTCAGTATGATGAAGAGTCTGCGGCAGACCTGCCGCAGACCTGCCGCAGACTCTTCATCATACTGAAAGAGTATGCGGCAAGTCTGCGGCAAGTCTGCGGCAAAACTAATTTGCATGTGAAAAAGATGACTGTCTGCCGCAGGTCTGCCGCAGACTTGCTGCAGACTTGCCACATACTCTTTCAGTATGATGAAGAGACCTGCTGCAGACCTGCCGCATACTCTTTCATATCCAGTACGTGGCAATAAAGTATGCATGTAGAAGAACCAGTGATAAACTGATTGATACTTCATAATCAATATTGGCAATATCGATATTACCAATTATACCAATATATATCGATATTACCAATTAGGTATATTCTATTCTCAATTGTATTAACTTCATCACATTGATCATTTGAAGTGTATTCAAGAGTAACATTTAAAGTGACACAGGCTCGTACACATATATATACTAAATATGTATATTGTTTCTTGGTTAGTAATCATAGTTTCTTGGTTAGTAATCAATATATCTATTGCTTAAACGTGAATGTAATTGTAACATGATCAGACAAAATATTCTATTGGTTAATAATGGCAAAAGGAAAATAGAAATCACAAAAATGATGTGCATTGTCTTAATTTGCTTAACAAATCATGATAAATGTATTTTTCTGTCACACGTGTAAAGTAATAATGAATATGCATGAGATGGTTGGTTTCAATTGGCCCTGTAGACTTTAATGGGATTTCCTGTGGCAGACCTGCCGCAGACTGTTCCTGTGGCGTACTGGTATGCGGCAAGTCTGGAGCAAAGTTTCGCCCTGCCGCAGATCTGCCGCAGACTGTTCCTGTGGCATACTAGTATGCGGCAAGTCTGGAGCAAAGTTTCATCCTGCCGCAGATCTGCCGCAGACTGTTCCTGTGGCATACTAGTATGCGGCAAGTCTGGAGCAAAGTTTCATCCTGCCGCAGATCTGCCGCAGACTGTTCCTGTGGCATACTAGTATGCGGCAAGTCTGGAGCAAAGTTTCATCCTGCCGCAGATCTGCCGCAGACTGTTCCTGTGGCATACTAGTATGCGGCAAGTCTGCAGCAAAATTTCATCCTGCCGCAGATCTGCCGCAGAATGTTCCTGTGGCATACTAGTATGCGGCAAGTCTGCAGCAAAATTTCATCCTGCCGCAGATCTGCCGCAGACTGTTCCTGTGGCATACTAGTATGCGGCAAGTCTGCAGCAAAATTTCATCCTGCCGCAGATCTGCCGCAGACTGTTCCTGTGGCATACTGGTATGCGGCAAGTCTGCAGCAAAATTTCTTTCTGCCGCATACTTCGGCATACTCTTTGCCGCAGACTAAAAGTCTGCGGCAGGTCTGCGGCAGATCTGCGGCAGGTCTGCGGCAGGTCTGCGGCATACTTTTCACTTTCCTATGGGATGGCCCTCCCGTAGCTGTCGGGTAGGACAGGGTGACCAGATAGATCGTGGGCCGTGCAGTGGAGAATATTGTCTGAATGAAGTCTGAAGTGAAGAGCTAGAGCCTAAAGCCTCGAGGGATCTTAATTTGTGATTTCCTTTGTTTTTCATTATCTATCTCCATAATATTTCACACTTGTTTGTTACTGTAAGTTACTCATTGTCCTGTTGTTTATGATTTTATACAGGTCTCCAATCCAGTACTAGATCTAGGTCTAGTGCTTTTAGTGGGCTGGTGGATGTGAGTTAGACGATGGAGAGCTCAAACCTGTCAGGTATCACCGTCACTGTCAAACAAGAACCAGTGGAACCTCACAACCAGCAGGGTAAGACAAGATCTTGATCTTGGTAGAGGTGTTTGGGTCTAGTGGAATTCGTCACTGGTTCACATGGTTCACGGTTTGAGTCCCGCTGCAGCACTAATAATCCTTTAGCAAGATTGGTTGAATTAGAGCCTTTGTTGAATACTTTTCGATGTAAGCTGTAATATGTCTCATTCTCAAGAAACATAAATCAGGACAAATCAAATATTTCACATACTTAGAAATTACAAAAGATTTGTAAGGGTATGATTAAAAATTGAGTTGTTGACTGTTCATGTATGTTTATCTGTTGCCCTCTTAATTGCAGAAAATGAGAGAGGATGTCCGGTATTACTGCCAATCAACCTGTGTCATGTTCACCACCAGGTCAATTAGACACCCAGACAGGAAGGACCAGTGTTGGAGATGGTCATGGCTTTGGTTCTTCAACAGAGGAACAGAACTCACAGGATTCCTGTGCAGGTGTCCAGCTTCATGCACCAGCTCTGAACTCTAGGAGGACTCCTCCAGATTGGATCCCTTGTGAGCCACCATATGGGGAACGGGAAGCACCAGGTGCAAGCACTACAATGATGCAAGAATCACAGGTTGCTCTTCAGGACCTTGATGGTCCTTCGACACAAGAGACTGAAGAGAACATGGTTTCAAATACCTGTGAAAAGACGCCTGACCAAAAGCCATGGATAATTGAAAATAAAGGAAAACATATTTTAATGCCACAGCGGGAAAAGCATTCTGGTGGAATCAAGTCGATTTCCCACAAAACCAGGGTTTCCATTTTTCATCCAGAAGATCTTTTGAGCAGAGATGGGAAAAAGGCAAGTGCTCTGGAAAGAAGATATTTCTATGGATCACAGGCTTCTGATACTAATCACCTGATGAAAGATGGTCTGGGTGCAAGACAGTTTCAAAGCCAACATGTATCTGATGCAAATCCAAGATCTCCAGCCAATGACATGGTTCAAGTAAATGGCAGGGAGAGTTTGGATGTAAAACCCTCTACTAAGGGTGTGACTATGATTCGTGAATCGGGAATTGCTGTTCACTGTCAAGTAGATCTTGTATCCAAAGAGAACAAAGAGACAAATGCGTTGGAAGGAACATCTTGCCAACGGCCACAGAACCATTGCGCATCAGCAATGGCGTCACTGAATGAAGAAGAACAACTCTCGCAGTGCAAGATATGCCTCAAATCTTCCATACATTTAAAATCACACATGAAGGTTCACACGTCAGAGCGACCATTCAAATGCAGTGTCTGCGACAAGGGCTTTATCGAAAGACGCCACCTTAAAAGCCACATGCGTAGCCATACGGGTGAGAAGCCATTCGCATGCTCCGTCTGCCAGAAAGCGTTCAGCCAACCGACCCACCTGACTTATCACCTCCGCACCCACACCGGGATCAAGCCTTTTTCTTGCGAGACCTGCGGGAGGAGCTTCGGTCGTAAAAGAGACCTGACAGTTCACATGCGAATTCATACAGGTGAACGTCCATTCGCCTGCAAGCTGTGCGACAAAACCTGCAGTACACAAAGAAGCCTCACCCTCCACATGCGTGGTCATACCGGGGAGAGACCCTACAGCTGCACTGTATGTCCCAAGACTTACACATCGAAGAGTAACCTCATCAAGCATGTACGCATGCATACAGGCGAGAAGCCGTACCAATGCTGGGTATGTCACAAGGAGTTCCGCGCAGGCTCGGATCTGACTTATCACCTCCGCACCCACACCGGGATCAGGCCCTTTTCTTGCGAGACCTGCGGGAAAAGCTTCAGTCGAAAAGGAGACATGACAGTTCACATGCGAATTCATACAGGTGAAAGTGCATTCGCCTGCAAGCTGTGCGACAAAACCTGTAGTACACAAAGAAATCTCACTGTCCATATGCGTGTCCATACCGGGGAGAGGCCTTACAGCTGCACGTTATGTCGCAAGACGTACAGATGGAAGAGTGACCTCACCAAGCATGTACACATGCATACAGGCGAGAAGCCATACAAGTGTGGGGTATGTCTGAAAGAATACAGCTCAGACAGATATCTTCCTAAACATGTCTGCGCTCCAAAGACTACCAGTATGGCTACTGATTAGCAAGGACACGATCATCAATGTTGAGAGCCGAAAGAGTGTACATAACTCTTTAATTTAAAACAGATTTCATGCACTCTCTGTTCTCAACAGGCAATATCCCTGATTAGGGGCGAAACAAAAAATACATCTACAATTCTACATGTACATGTATGTTTGTAGAAGCTCTTTCTTGGCGTGCTGTATTGAAATTAGTTTCTCTTTTGCAAATTTGTTGTATTCTTCTTTGTTTATTTGTTTGTAACTTTGTTCTTTATATCAGAGCTCCTTTTTGGAATTACCAGAGCTATTTCGGAGCTTCCCAGAGTTGAATTGGTCATTGATCGTATATATATTTGTTTCCTTTCCTGAGCAGTATTAGTATGTTGCCTATTGTAGAGCCAGAAGGGCTTTAACTCAAAACACAAACAGTGTCATGCCCTTCTGTTGCTCAATAGGTGATATTTATATTTCCTAGGAACTCATATTATCAGGTAAAGTGCAATATTGTGCTTTGAGTAATATTTAAAGGTTCCCTATTATGAAATTCTAATACTTGGTATTTTGTACATGTAACTCATATAAAGTGAAAAATGTTATCTGTTTGAACTTTATACGTATCTAAATATTAAAAATATATATTTTCCCCATGTATTCATGCCTAAATCACTCCGCTAAGCCCCGCCCCTTTTAAAACCCTGAATTATCGTTCTTCGAGATTGATTGACGTATGACGTCAGAAACAGAAGTCCTCGATAATTGTTGAGAAAATCTTGTATTCATCGTACGTGCAAACTCATTTACTGCCTCGAGGATTTACATCTAAATCGAAGTATGCCGCAACGCTGCGTCGTTGCAGGTTGTAGCAACACAACAAGGGAAGGTGTGAGTCTGCACTTGTTTCCAAAAGAAGGACATTCACAACATTTGTATTGCTTTTTTTCAGTACCGGTGTATAGTTTTTCTTCTGAACATGCACACTGTACATGTGCCGGTTTATCAAACAGAAATTATTGAATTCAAGAAACTCGTAGGAGTAATTTTGTTTTTGAAGTAGATTATGGTACAGTACATTGTAATTCTTAATTCATGTGTAATTTTGTTTTTGAAGTAGATTATGGTACAGTACATTGTAATTCTTAATTCATGTCCCTCTCTGGAAAATATATGATCATTAGACTAATTATAAAGGGGCAATTCCACGGTAACGGAAGGACACTCAGACAAGATTTTTGAACTTCAGGTTCATACTAAAAGAACTGTTTTATTAGTATAAGATGTGAAACAGTACAGATATAATACCTATATAAGTGCCTTTAATTCTCCCCAAAAAATTGTCATTATAGTTAAGTAGTTTAAGAATGTGCATATTAATTATCTCGGTAACGGAAGGACATAAAAATGGACATGGTTTTTCCAGTTAATTAGTGTTTATCCAAACTTTGTGAAGTTGATGAAGCTTTCCACTTGACTGAAACACATTTTGTTCCCCATAGTTTAATACATACTAATAAAACATTTCTTTTAGTATGAACCTGAGGTTCAAAAATCTTGTCTGAGTGTCCTTCCGTTACCGTGGAATTGCCCAAAGATCAAGTTGAGTTCTGGTCATGGAATTGCATTGTAACCTACTTACCTTGATTTCCTTATCTTCCCAGCTCATTACTCACCCCCTATACATTTTCTACCAAAATTGTATGGCACATGTCATTTATTTGTAATCTTGAACATTCAGTGTGAGTTTTGTTGGATTCTGTGAGAATTTATTTTGTATCTTTACCAGAACTCAAGCTAATCTTTAAATTGCAGTGGCGATAATGATGATAATTATTAATCAATCATGACTGTATATAATATGTGTAAAAACAGTTTTCTATTTTGGGGTCAATGAGACCTTCAAGGGTAGCCCCTTGGAGGTATGGCCCCTATCATCAAAATGAATGATGACTCAGGGTAATTCTATTCCAGGAGCTACATGTACATGTACGTGCACTGTATAACCTCTGTATGCCTCCAATTAGCCTTATAGTCTTAGAGCACAGAATTTTATTGGACGCTTCACAATTGGACACTTAGATTAACCTTGAGCCTTTCCTGAATTTGAATTTGACAGTCTCTACTCTGGCAAGGGTTAGTTTGCAGGCAGAGTAATGCATTAGAGAGGTTCTAAGCTAGGAGACTATACAGAGACTGCAGTCCATATTGCCCTTCACTATATGACACAGTCAGAGACTGACAGAGCTAGACTCTGCATGAATCTTTGAAGATAAAGTTGAGTTCTGGTCATTGTGAAAGAAACGTTGTGGAATCTATCAGAAAAGGTTGATCATCTAGCATATAAGTATTGGTTTGTACTGCAAAATGATAACAAATTTGGCCCAGTCTTGGTCAAGTTACAAGCACTGTACACAGAAAGATGTATATGGGACTACGCACACGTGCTTGACACGTGCGTTATATCTATCAGGTCCAAATAGATATAATAATTTACCAAATATATCAATTAGTAGGCGGTTTCTCAGCAAAATTTGTATGATGTCGTATTAGTCAAAACATATTCTTTCACATGATTGGCAATAGAGCTTCCATTTCATTTTTTGAGAGGGGGGCGTTTCCAAAACTGGTCTTTACCTTTAAGATTGAAGGCGGCAGACCAAGAAGATGGCTCTGCGCAGACCCTGTGCTATATGCATGTGATATAGCAGGTTTTACATCAATTACCAACACTAACTGTATCTTCACTAGTGAACACTATATGCCTAATGGTTCCTAACTATAACAGTTAACCTAATGCTGAAGTCAACCTACATAATATATATGTACATTATCATAGGTTGGAAGTTGTAAATCCCAAAGTAAACTCAGCTTATCTTTGGGAACATATATTTTGTATAAAAAACCAAACAATGGTGCTTTAATCTATTTATGTTTTATGTCGTAAATTATATATTTATTATGAAATTTTACAGAAAACATGATGCACTTTTGTGAATATGTGTAATTGGTCAAATGTAAGTTACTGGGAGTGAGAGAGGAAAATGGAGAGAAGTAGAGGAGAGAGAGAGAGAGAGTAGGGATAGGGAAGGAAAAAGAAGAAATCAAATGAGAGAGAAAGAGAGAGAGGGGTAGGTTGATGGAAGGATGGATTAAAAAGGAGAGGATAGAGGGTGTTGAGGGAGAAGAGGAAACTTATTTGAAGGGGGCCGGTGGGAAAATAAAAGAAAAAATAAATCAAATGACAGAGAGAAAGAGGGAGGGGACAGGAATGGTAATAATTTGATAGAGAAGGGTTTAGGAAGAAGAACATGTCAGAGATTGATACAGGGACAGAAAGACAGAGAGAGAAAATGGAGGGAGGAGGTTGCCTGACGCAAGGGGGGATTAATCAAATTAAGAGCCTGTGCATGTAGGGGAAGGGGTCTGGGGAGAAGACATGTTTTATGAGGCAACTTTACCAGACTTTATGATTAGGAATTTTGTTTTGTTTTATTTGTATGTTTGTTTTTATTTATACACAAAAGTTAGGTCCTTTTCTCCTATTGCCTATATAGATATGATTAACATATATCTAGTCTAACTAGATAACCTGAAAACTGATTTTTTTTTTTTTTTTTTTTTTTTTTTTTTTTGTCGTAATTATATTACGATATCCTAATTTACTATGTCTAGGAGAATAAGATTCGTTGAACTGGTTTTCAACTGGTAATAATCTATCGGTTTCCTACTGGTAATCATCTATTGGTTTGAACTGGTAACAACTGGTGGTTTTCAACTCCTGAACTGTTTTTTTTTTTTTTACCTGGGTATTGCCTTCTTCTGCAATACTCTCAACTTATCGAGATATGACTTAAAAGTGTTTACCCAAGCAACATTACAATGTCGAATATGGAAGAATAATGTTATCAGCACTCTTTCGGGTAAAACAATTTTTAATCTAAAAACGACACCTATATGCACTTCAGGACAACTTTTTGCATACAACATCTAAATGATTTTTCCAAGATAAATGCTCATTCATAATTAACCCTAAGAACTGAACATTCTCACTAAAGCGCAACATCATGGCCCCCAACCGTTTAACAAATTAATACCATCTGGAAGCTTTTTACCCTTTGAGTGAAAAATAACACAATTTGTCCGTTTGAATATTCAACAATAACTAATTACAAAAAATACCATGCTTACAGTTTCTGAATCTCTTGATTTTCAATTAATTAGTAATAAATCTTCAGCGGCCTTCTTATCAGCCAGCAGCAAGATGGTATCATCAGCAAATAGTGAGTATGAGAATAATGTTGATGAGTGTATTATCATTTATATAGATTAAGAACAACAGGGGACCAAGAACAGAACCCTGAGGTACACCATATTTAATATAAGCAAGTTGGGATCCTAGTACCATCCACCACAACAAATTGAGTCCCGTTGACCTACACCACGTATTCCACAACGCTCAAGTTTCCTGAGGATCGAGGATGCCATAGTCAATTAGGGCCTTAGATCTAAGAATATCCCCAAACAATACCCATCAATAGCTTTTATGATATCACTTAATAAATTAAACACACCCATTTGCATGTGTGGAGAAGTGCTTACGAAACCACAATGCTGAGGAATCAAGATATTCTTTTTAGATATAAACTCATTTCGTTTATAAATTATTTTCTCAAGAATTTTAGAAAAGATTGATAACATTAATGCTATCGGCCTATAATAATATCAATGACATTCTTACGGTCAGATTTGTTATACACTTTAGCTATACCTTGAGCTTATCTGGAACAACTCCCTGAGATAAAGACATATTAATGATTTTACATAAGGGATCAATAAAAAGGTGAAGCACTCCTTTATAATTCTAGGTGAAATGTCATCAGAACCACTAGATTTAGATGATTTCAAATATGACACAATATCGATGATCTCAGATTTTGAATTTGGTTTTAGGAACATAGATGCATTATCATCACACTGTTTCATATAATCTTGAAAAGATTGTGGTACTTGAGGAATATCTGTACTGATTTTCATGGGTAATCCAATGAAATATTAATTAAAACTTTCAGCCTTATCCTTGGCAGATGATAGTACTCCATTACAATCCATCTCTTTACGAAGTGAATGCCTGTTTGATCGACCTAACAATTCATTGATATGAGCTAGACCAAGTTTTCCTAATATCGCCTTTAACACTGCGGAACAAATCATTGTAATAATTTTGTTGGGTTTTACGAAAGTGTTAACCAAGCCATTCTTATAATTAAAATATTTCTTGTTATTGTCAGCTGTTGGTCTCTAATTGACATAACTACCATAACGCTTATGTTTATGATTTATTGTTTTCAATAAACCACGAGATACCCATGGCTTTTTGCATTTACTCGTTATTGTTACCTCTATTAATGGGAAACATAAATTATATAATTCCAGCAATATTTGTAGAAATTGTTCGTATGAATCGTTGACTCCTTCCAATGAAGACAGAGCCTGCCAAACAATTCCTGGACCAGATAAGTGTTGCTTGAACCTTGAGATTCGTTCATCATTAATTTTATTAACCGCTTCATAACTTGTCCATCTCTCTTAACAGAAGTATACAGAACCCTTATTTTTTCACAAAATATAGGCATGTATAATGATCAGAGACAATTGCACCTGATCATGAGCTAAACTCATTTTGAATGCAGTTTGTAAAAATAGTGTCTATCAGTGTTGCACTAATTTCAGTTATACGGGTAGGTTTAGTGACAAGAGAAAATAATTAAAAAGAGTACATAAAATCTACAAAATCTTCAACACTATAAGTTTTTTTGTGATCATTATCATAATTCAATAAATTGATGTTGAAGTCATCCATTAAATATATTACCTTGTTTTCTCTACCCAATATCTGTAGCTGATGTTCTAAATTTTAAACAAAGGATGTACTATCATAGTTAGGAGCCCTATAATAATCTCCTTACTGAAGCTTGGTATTTCAACAAAAACAATTTCCCTGCATTTGACCCAGATAAATCTTTAATATACGAACATGCCCCACCGCCATTCTTTTCTACCCTATACATTCGTGAACAAAAGAAAAGCCAGGTATATCTGAAAAGTATTG